ATCCGAAGCAACTTCAGTAGTGTGCGTCCTTAGATTATCATCCATTCAAGTTTGGTTAAGATAGGGCTTATAGTTACTTTAAAATGAACCTGCTCTAAAAACTTAACCCAGTCACATGCCGGAAAATGTAGGTCAGATCCAGCAATCGAAGCAAGCCTGGTAGTGTGTATCCAGTGGTCATAATGTTAATCTTCTACGGTACCAATTTTGATGCACCAGATGCGCATTTCGACAAAGTATGTCTCTTTAGTGACGCTCACACCGAAACGTTGGAAATCCAAAATAGTCAAAAAAATTTTTTTGAAAAGGTGAAAAAGGGGGGGGGGGGGGGGTTGCCAAAAACTGGAGCCAAATACGTCAAAGGATCAGCGCTACAGTACTAACCAGACCCAACCTGACACAAAGCAATCCCACAGCGGTCCCACAGCAGTCCCAGTGGTCCCAGAAAGCAGTGCCATCAGTCCCAGTGGGCGGGGTTAATTAATTTAATGGGCGGAACTTACTCAGAATGAGATTACCAATAAACAATGTAATTAAATAGGCAGTTGAAATTGATGATCCATTTATTTCTGAGTAGTATCAACAAATATTTACAATTCTTACATGACAGTCATTTCTGAACTGTTAAGAAAATCACAGTACGCGTATAGAAACAAATAATAATTATGAACGCAGAAGATGTTCACACCTATTAAAAACATGAATATTTAAACACAATTATTTGGTATATTAATTTTTCCACAAAATAAATCAATTTCTTTATTTTCTGTGATTGATATTGGTTTTTATATTTTTTTTATATAGAAAATTAAACTTGAATTGTTTATATTCTACCAGAATTAGCTTTAAATAGATCTTACATTTATAGAGTAAGGCCGATTCCCATACTATATGTATACTCTGAATGCATTTTTCTTAAGTATTGGAGCTTTTGAAAAATTCTTTGCTAAATATTGCCGAGTATTATATTTCAGTCATGATTATTTTCAATGACTTGCCAATCTAATTAGCGATAGATTCTCAGTTTTAAGTGTTTTATTATATAAATGTTCGAGTGTACATCTGTAAATCGCGCAAATGGAACCCTCAGATTATGTTCAAAATTAATTAATCCTGAAAATTTTTTTATACACAATTATTGAAACAAAGATTTTTTTGCAGAACATACTAGTAGATTGAATTTAGTGTCATTGTTGACCAGCGTGTTCAGTGATGTGTTACACAGATACCCAAATAACATGCATTGACTTTCTACTAATTATGCCCAAAGGCGATTAAAACATCAGATGTTGACACCATTTTATACAATTGTATTGCTTTTTTATTAATCGGCCAGGTAAACACAAACAAAACAAATAAGAAATAAGTCACAATTCCCGATATTTTCAAATGTTTATTTTTTTAATAAATGTTCTCTTTTAATAACTTGTTATAAATTGAAACCCAATTCATAAATAAATCCCCCAGTAATTGTTCACATTGTTTACGTGACAGAAGAATGGTAGAATAATTTTATTTTATGGTCATTTGATAAATTATTAGGTTTTTTTGAGGGCGGTAAAAAATAGCATGGAATGCTCTTTTTTAAGCATGGTATTAGCTTTTTCAATTAAGAAAAAAATCCAACACAGTACGTCCCTCTGAATATCTGACTGAAATGACAAGTTTGATTTTAAAATAGTGCTAATGCAAACTTTGAGTACATAATTTGACAGCATTAATTTATTAAAAATAGACCTTGAATATTTTTTTTTTTCAAACACCTGTATTGAAATTAAATTTTAAGGGATAAAAATCATCTTTTGACTTCCCTTTTAACTACTTTTTTAAAAAAAAAAATTAAAAATTAATTCTTGACCACAATTGTGTAAATTTACAGCCCCTGAAGACATTGAGTAATTACATGTTTAACTATCTCTACTTATTTAATTTTTGTAAGAAATACTTGTTTTTAAAATTTGTTTTATCTTAAACACCTCTCTTCAGAAAGTAAACAAAACAATACAGGGAGTTGCAAATTCAGAATACACAAGGGGCAGAGCTATCATGTCACTCAAAACCTTTTTCACTCATGAGTGAACAAAGCAGCCCCAGAAAGCAGTCCCAGGGACTGCTGGGTCTGCTTTCTAGAGCAGTCCCAGAGCAATCCCATAGCAGTCCCACAGCAGTCCCAGAGCAGTCCCAAAGCAGTCCCGGAGACAGCTTTCTGGAACTGCTTGGGTGTCAGGTTGGGTCTGGTTGGTACTGTATGCATGAGGGACATAATCCTGAATTTTGAAATAAATTTCTTAATTCAACCACAACAATAACATATACATGTTTATCCGTACTTTCAAGCTAGTACCAAAGTACTTATCTACTGGACTGTAGAGACCCTCGGAGACTAACAGTCCACCAGCAGAGGCCTCGACCCAACCAGGGGTCATAATGTTAATCTTGTTAATATAAATAAATATTGATGCACCAGTTGTGCACTTCGACAAATTATTTCTCTTCAGTGATGCTCATACCGAAATAGCCCGCGTGGCGCAGTGGTTAGAGCATCTGATCTAGAGTCACTGAGTAAGGAGTTGATCCTTATGTCGCGGGTTCGAATCCCACTGTGGGACGTGGAGACTGGTCCTTCGGATGAGACCGTATAAACCGAGGTCCCGTGTTTCAGTAAGTGCTGTCACGAAAAAGATCCCTCACTGCTCAATGGCGTAACTGCCGAGTATAGGACAAAATTTACAGCTCTCCACTAGCAAGTAGTGGCATCTCCAAATGAGTGAAAAATTCTCGAGAGGGACGTTAAACAACATACAAACAAACATACCAAAACGTTTGAAATCCGAAATAGTTAAAAAATCTTCTTAAAAAAAACTGAAAAAGGGGGGTGCCAAAGACTGGAGCCAAATACGTCGAAGGACCAGATAATTTAAAACCTTTGACTGGTAAAATGAAACATACTAGAAGCATCGTCCATGCATCTCTGATGAAAATAGGGCATAGAAGTACATGAAAAGAAATCTGCTCCAAAAACGTTAACATTGGACGCCGAAGGTATTACATACATGTAAACTCTCTCCAAACTTCTTTGAGGTGAGCTAGAAAATAGACTTCGATAGAATAACAATTAAATATAAAACATGACAATTAAACAAAAACATGACTCCCCATTCCTAAAAGCTATAACGAATTATTATAATGAAACTGAAATTATTAGAAATTATTCCTCCAGATTGATTTTGGTCCATCTTTACTGCAATTGTCATTCTACAACTTTTTTGAAGTGCGATCCATTTTGGAAAAACGATCCCGTTGTATTTTCATGGTATTTAAATTTCAATTTGTGTGGTGACTGCATATTATCAAATTTCAAAGTACATTGTCAGGAGCTCACAAAGATGTGACATATGGGCTAGTAATTGAAACTCTGCTGCTCAAATTCAAAAGACACGTTTTGATTTAACTGTTCGATGTATTTTTTTTCAATGGAGGTCAAAGATTATGTGGACTTATACTCTGAAGTTTTTTTATGATATCTTTAGACAATCAGTGCACTTGGTAAATAGCTCAGCTCAACTCTTTATTGTCAAAAATAAGCTGTATATCGACTCTGTAAACTATTTTGAAAAGCGGGTCAAAGGTCAATTTCAAAGGTCACAAGGTGGGTAACCTCGGTAATTTATAAAGTAGTACCTAGCTATACATGTTTGAAATATTAAATCCGTTTCTCTTACAGTTCCTAAGATACAGGGTGTGACTGACAGCTAGAAGGACGGTCAGACATACAGACACTGGGTAAATTGATCCCTTAGTGTTGTTCTGCTCTGCAGGCGACACAATGAATTCCTTGGTACACATTGTTAGCCTGCTTAAAATTATTTTTTGGCATAAACGATACACTGTATAGGACCACAAACCAGTGTCTTTCAACAAGATTACATTATATCATATTGTTTAGATCGACCTTCATCGGTAAGCACAAGCAGCATTTCAAGTGTAATTTTGAATATTCTTCTTTCAAAAAGGGGACAAAAAAACGGGATATAGAGTTAGGGGATGAAAGGTCGTTGATTGACCAATGCTGGAAAGTGGTGAAATACATCCCCAAAAATCGCAGAAAATCTTGCACCATAAATTGCACTTTATTAACATTACGGAATCTATAGCGTTATGGTCAAAGACTAAAATTTAAAATCATATCGCTACAGTTCTGCAGCTATCTATTGGTCTAAAGAAGAGAAAATAATGATAGCTGTACATGTAAAAAAAATGTACAATCATGTATATATAATTATCAATCTTGCACTTTTCCTTAAATCAGTTTTCGTGTTTTCGACTTTTGATATTCAAATGCATTAGATAAAGACTGGAAATCAGTGAATAACTAGACAATTTCAAAGTATAAGAGCAATAACTGTGTCCATCTAAAAATATCAGCTCATTATGAAAAAGCACAGCAAAAGAATCCGGAAAATGGTGAGTATGACGGTGAATATTTAGAAATTTTCAAACACTAAGGGCAATAATTTTTCTGAAGATGGGTCAATCGCAACGATATATACACTGTATAAGTCATCGATACAGAGAGACATAACATGAATTAGCTCATTATCTAAATGCACGGCAAAAAAAAAAAAAAAAAAAAATTCTGGACACAGTGAATAGTTAAAGAAATTTCAGTCCACATGTAAGGGCAATAAAAATAGGTCAATCAATATGAAACTTATAAACAGATGATACAAAAAAAAATGGATGCTTGGATTGGTATATATTTTTTAACCTATTTTGGTTGTAAATGATGCGATTAATAAATTTTTCAATTATTAAAAAACTGTAAACTTTCTATGGTGTTCAAAATTCTACCTTTCTGCAAAAATCCTTATTACTCTAGATCTACGCATGTTTTTGTCACCATAAATCCCATTATTGTTAAATTTGAGAAAAAAAAATAAAATTTATTTGATTAAGCTTATTCATTTTACTCATACACAGATGACTCAAGTTGTCATTTTTAAAACTTTTGATAAAATGTTTGTTTGTATCATTTGTCCTTAATCTTCATCTGTATGTCATCAAAGTACAGAGACAATCCAAAAATCAGCTAATTATTTAAAAACATGTCAAAAAAAAAATTACGAAGGTAGAATGACAAGATGACAGAATGATGAAAAGACAAACTCAAAGGGATAACACTATATGCCCCAACAATTTTGGGGGGATAAAAAGGTTTCATTCTGGTGGTAAATACACATTTTCTTTCACCTTTGGTCTTTGAAAATACCTCTCAAGGGACTCCAGCTCTATTATGTGTTCATGAATTGTTGAAGAGGTTTCATTCGAAAAGCTTGTTGAGTCTTCATATATTTTACTTGCGATCATTGTCAACTTTTTATTATGTTCACTGTTGTCTTCACTGCTGCATTCAGACTGAAGAATTCCCAACCTTTCTAGCCCATCACTAAGCAGATTTACCAGTGTTTCACAGTCATTTTCCTATACAAAAGAAAACAAATCCTGAAATAGTATGTTTCACCATGTTTGCAAGACTTATATGCACTTACATGTAATGTTGTTTAGAAATGGTTTTCGATGATGTGGGTTTTAATTTTCACAATCTAATGCAATGTTACATGTATAATTGTTTTCCTCTATCACCTCTATGCACTTAAATGTATATCATAAACAAATGTGTTACATGCACAAATTATTACATTGGGCCATAAAAAAAATTAATTAATAGTTTCTCAGGCCAAAAATTTCAAAATTCAATGCGGCAGGCAGTTTTTTTTTTTTTTTTTTTTTTTTTTTTTTTTTTTTTTTTTTTGTTCTCTTACAGTATTTTATTAATTAACTTTGTTTGGCATAACATTATTTAAAGTTGAATATATATTTTAATGTATGTATTTACAAGAAATGTATTGTTTATCTAATAAAAACATCTATCTATTAGCATTTTTGAAAAAGGGGAATAACTCAATTTTCTTTTTCAACTTGGAAAAATAGAAAATTGAATTATTTTCCCTTTCAAAATGTCAATAAAATTGATCAATGCGGCAGTGTTTGACCTGATGCGGCGGTGCCTGAGAAACTATTGATTAATTTTTTGGCCTTGAAATGTCTTTTTTCTTTTTTGTATACATATTTATATCTAAACCATGTTCCTAAAAGTATTGCAATCAAGAAAAACAAGAAGCCCATGGGCAACATTGCTCACCTGAGCACAATGGCTAGGCAAAAGCACAAATCAGTTCAGTATTGAAAAGATTTCCGGAGGGGGGGGGAGGTGGGGGGGGGGCTTGAATTTTTAACTACCTGATGATGCTTCCATGTCAATATAACAAATGGCTTTGTTGTACTTGAGAAGATTTTTAAAAAAATTTCCCATATATTATTTTGAAAAAATCTGATCCCCCATTGTGGCTCCTCCCTACCCCAGGGGTCATGATTTGAACGAACTTGAATCTACACTATCTGAGGATGCTTCCATATCAATATGACTAAACACAACTTTAATTTCTGTTCTTCAGAAGAAATATTTTTTCTATATGTTCTTATGTAAAACTTTCTACCCCCATTGGGCCCCACCGTACCCCCGGGGGTCATTCTTTGAACAAAATTGAATTTACACTACCTGAGGATGCTATCATATCAAAATGACTAAACACAATTTTTAGTTCTTGAGAAGATATTTTCCTATATGTTCCTATGTAAAATTTTCGATCCCCCACTGTGGCCTGACCCTATCCCCGGGGGTCATCATTTTAACAAACTTGAATCTAAACTACCTGAGGATGCTTCCATATCAAAATGACTAATAATGGCTTTGCAGTTCATCACAAGTAGATATTTTCCTATATATTTCTATTTATTGCAGTTCTTCAGAAGTAGATATTTTCCTATATATTTCTATGTAAAACTTTGATCCTCCATAGTGGCCCCACCCTACCCCCGCGGTCATGATTTGAATAAATTTGAATCTTCACTACCTGAGGCTGCTTCCATATAAGTATGACAAATCAGGGATTTGCTGTTCCTGAGTAGAAGATTTTTAAAGATTCCTCCTATATATTTCAATGTTAAGCTTTGATAGTCCATTGTGGCCCCTCCCTACCCCCAGGGGTCATGATTTGAACAAACTTGAATCTACACTACCTGAGGATGCTTCCATATAAATATGACTCATCATGGCTTTGCTTTCCTTGAGAAAAAGATTTTTAAAGGTTTTTCTTATATATTTCTATGTAAAAGTTTGACCCTCCATTGTGGCTCCGCCCAACCCCCGGGGGTCATGATTTGGACAAACTTGAATCTACACTACCTGAGGATGCTTCCACATGAGTTTCATCTTTCCTAGCCCTGTGGTTCTTGAGAAGATTTTTAAAAGATGCTATTAATTTTTCACTAATTCTTTATTATCTCCCCTTGAAAGAGGGTGTGGCCCTTCATTTGAACAAACTTGAATCCACTTACCCCGAGGATACTCTGTGCCAAGTTTGGTCGAAATTGACCTAGTAGTTCTAGGGAACAAGATGAAAATGTGAAAAGTTTACAACAATGACAACAACAACAACAACGACAGACAACAGAAAAATTTTGATCAGAAATGCTCACTTGATCCTTCGGCTCAGGTGAGCTAAAAATTATGAAGAATTTTTTTACTATATATACGATGGCACATATTTTTAAGTTTTTCAAATGGGAATTAACTAGACACGATTTATGTTAATTTGTGCTATAATTACATGCATAATGGGAATAAATAGAGGTAAATAAAAAAATGACAACACATTTCACTCAATCTTTTGATCATAGTGCTAGTAATACATTTCTTTAAGAACTTACCTCTTCTTTTTCTGGCTTTATCAAAATGACTGTAATTTAAAAAAAAAATCAATTATTTTATTTTTTTTCCCACTTCCGTACAAGAACTTCTTTTACATCAATGGAAAATTAGAAGGTAGATGAGCCTTGGAAGTCACCTGAATATGCTGAGTAACCTGTGAACTAAAGTCATACAATTTTTCTAATTCTTTTTTTTTTTTTTAAAGGGCTAGCTGCTAGTTTAGCCCAAACATGGGGCCTAAACCACATACCATGGGCCATTAATTTTACAATTTTGATCAAGCAAACAGTTATCAGCTATAAAGCCGTGAGTTAAGAAAGGTTTTTTGTTAAAGATTCTCCAAGGACAGTTTAAAGTGGCGGCCCCACCACAGTTAAGTTCCTGAGTGCCATGTTAAAATATCAGCGCCATAGTTCTGCCACAGTCAAACACTAGTGCCATGGTAAGACGGTGGTTGATCAGGAAGATAAATCTATAAATTTACAAATCCCAAATTAAAACTCCAAATTATGTACCGTTTTTCAGTTTCTCAATATTTGGCTTGCACAGTCAATTATGTTCTAGACCTCGCTTGGCTTTATGCATGAATGAAAAGAGGCAAGCCGTTATTTTCACACTATAAATAAAAAGGTACTATACAGCATCAAATAAATTTTGACACCTTTATACCAAATTAATTTTGAAACAAAAGACCTATGTATTTTAAGTTCATAGATGCTTTTGAGAGACCAGTTCTTTAATTTTTCTTCCCCAGTAAAAATAAAGAAAACACATGAAAAATGAAGAAAAATTGGCCAATCATTATAAAAATACAAGCTGAATTATGAACAAATCGAGCTAAAATTTTTAACATTTCTAAAACTGTTGTTGTTTTATGTTACTTTTAAATTTTGTAAGTACAGGATACATGATCTTAATTTTATCGCGTAAGTCCACGAACTTCTTGATAACCCCTCACATATTTTGGAATCATACTAATTTTGGTTTTACATATGTTTATTAGCTATAGATATCTATGAATTATTTTTATTATCATTATATTTATTCTACAATTTGGCAAATAATTAAAAATATTTGTGCATCCAACTTATGAATCAGAAGATTGATTTATATGTTGTTTTACGAATTTTTCACTCATATAGAGACGTCACCATATACTGGTGAAGGGCTTCAAATTTAGAATGCTACTCGGCACTCAGGGTCATTGAGCAGTGAGAGATCTTTATCGTGCCAATGCCTGCCGTGACACGGGGCCTCGGTTTTTAAGTTCTCATCTGAAGGACTCGCAACTTTTACTTCAAAGTGCCGAGCGCCAGGCGAAGGAACAGTTGCTACCCATTTTTTATCAACTAAGGTCAGACACGGCTGAGATTTGAACTCACAACCTTCCCATCATGGAGTGAGCGCTCTTCCCACTGAGCTACCCTGACGGCTACTCATGTAGAGACATCATCATATACCGGTGAAGGGCTTCAAATTTAGACCTATACTCGGCACTCAGGATATTGAGCACTGAGGGTTCTTTATCGTGCTAATGCTTACCATGACACAGGACCTTGGTTTTTAAGGTCTCATCCCAAAGACCCTGACTTCCACTTTTAGTGCCAGGTATTTGACAAAGGAACAGTCACTACCTATGTTTACCTCTTAGGTTTGATGCGGCTCGGCGAATGAGAATCTAACCTGGGCCTCCCGATCACATGATTCAGAAGAGTATTGTGTATTTTTCAATTTGTTTAGTGGTTTCTTCGCAACTTCGGTCACAAAATGCCAATGAATTTAAGCACTTCATGCAAGTCCTATGCCACAGAAAAAATTGAAATGATGGAGAACCCTACAAGTAATAAATTCTTAATAGATGTAGCATACCAATAGAGCAACACTCTTGGACTGAATGCTGGAGCCACAGGATATGATTTTTTAAAATTCTGGTAAACAACAAAGTACTAAATGTTTGGAATTGTCTACAAGATATCCTTTAAGAAAGGAAATTTTAAAGATCAAATGCATGAGTTTTAATATATATGTATAACCTATTTTGCCCCACCCTTAGACCTGAAAGCTTGATTCAGTGACCATGATTATGATAATTTGGAAGAGCTACTGTACTGACCAGACACAACCTAACACCAGAGCGAACCCAAAGCGCACCTCAGATTCGCTTTCTGGGTTCGCTCGGGGTCCGCTACAGGTCCGCTTTGAGAAATTTTGGGTGCGCTCTGGGTTCGCTTTGGGTTTGCTCTGCATTCGCTCGGGGTCAGCTCTGGGTCCGCTAGAGCAAACCCGGCGTTCGCTTTATGCACTCATGCGCGAAGCAGACCCCGCTTTAATCTTGCCGCCAGTAAGCTCCGCCCCTTGTTTATTCCAAATACAGCAGTGAAAAGGATCATTGTTGTTTTTGTGGCGATCGATACATGTGCATGTACAGTGTCTGCAATGTTATTGTTCACTACATACACGAACGATCACGTTGTACACAAAATAGTTAAAAATATTTAGGAGTGGATATTTAAAAAAAAAAAAACAACTTATTAATAGATATTTTAGATTAAAAATATTTACTGCTGCAATTAATCGACTTTGGAAAACTTTTTGATATGTAAATTAAAATGTAATTTATCATCGAATGCAGCATGTTTTATCACATGATATAGGTTGAATATGAGTTTTGATTCAATTGGATTTTATAATATGCAGTATGGGGGTAAAAAAATTTTTAAAAGTGGCCTAAATAATGAATGAATACTTATATTCATCTTTCTGTTTATGAATTTCAAAAATCAGCATTTTTTTTTTAATTCATTCATCTGCAGAAATTAAAATAATAATAAGTATCAGGGATAAAAAGTAACCCAGACAATCATGTAGTGTACATTTGTCAACTAATTATTTATGTTAGTATTGGGAATTAATAAATTTTTTTTTGTAAAAATGTACATTTCTAATGTATTGATATAAAAATATCATGACCACAATAAGCAGTTAACGGGGCCCATCATCAGAGAAAAAAATCGTTAAACATCTTAAATATGCTTTATCATTTAAAGTTACGCTGTTTTAAAAGAATACAATACTGTACGGCTTATTATATTACTTATTTACTACCGATAATTAGTTCGTTCAATAATGTACATGTAAATCGCGCATTGTTTTCTTTTTATTTCAGTTAATAAAAAAACAACGACAACAAGGTAAATCAAGCTTTACATTATTTTTTTGTAAAAGATAAATCAAAATAATACCATAGTAGTTTACGATTGGACATACTGTACATGTACATTGATGCTGTTCTTTATTTCTTTATTTTTATTTTTTTATTTTTTTGTCTTTTTTACTTTTTTTCCAATTAGGAAGATTAATAATTTTGATGTTGATCTGGATTTAAACAAATATGTAAATTAGAATTATAAAAATAAAATAATTGAATGAAAGCATGTATTTATACATACTCTTGTACAGTATCTCGAGATAATGAAATGCTATAACTTGTCAAAATGCTTTTTTTTTTCTTTTTTTTTTTTTAAGTTACAATTGTAATAACCATTATTTTCTTTTAAACATTAAAGAACTTTTTGTCTGATAAATTTAAGCAATATAAATAAATGGATTTTAAAAATAAAAAATAAAAAAATAAATGTGTACAAATAACATGCTACCTGGATAATTAAAATATAAATATTATAATTATTTTTTTTAATTGTGATAATAATAATTTCACACTGTACATAAACACGCTTTGCTTGTGGAATGTTTTATTTACATCAAATGACAAACTGGCATGCTGATCGGTCGACGTGCTGATTGGTTAACACGTCTTATCGCTAATCCTGATTGACAGCTCAGTTACGCAACATCGAACGCGCGTTCGCTTGCTGGGTTCGCTACTGAATTTGGGGTTCGCTTTCGGCATTCGCTCTGGGTCTGCTGCGGGTTTGCTCGGGGTCCGCTCCTGGTTCGCTCAGGGTCCACTATAGCAAACCCCAAGCAAACCCAGGCAGCAAACCCGGGGTGCACTTTGGGTTCGCTTTCTGTTAGGTTGTGTCTGGTCAGTACTGTAAATACTTAATATAATCATGTAAACAGTTTTCCAACTAGCTGCCTGAACAAATAGGAGTTAAGTGAGTAATGCATTTTCAATATTATACATGTACCAACCTAACCCCACCCTGGAACCTGAATGCAAGGACCATGAATTTCACAGTTTTTGTCAAGAGCACATTGCTTTTTATAATCATACTGATAATTTGACTGCTTTTTTGTGAACGAGTAATAAATTTTTAAAGATATAATTAATTTTTGGTTTTGTTCCCACCCCTTAGGCCCAATGAGGCAATTTTAAGACCATAAAATACAAATTTACTCCCCTTTACCTATAGGTGTATTATATTAGTTATCCAGGCCGAAGGGTGTATGGAATACAACCCGGGCTAAATCCCCGTACACCCTTGATTGGACCTGGATAACGAATTTATTTTCTATGTACCAAAATAAATTCTTTGTAAACAAGTCCAATCAACTGTGTTTAAAGCTATTGATAAGATTTACTACATCCTATAATGCATCGATGACGTCATGTTATTTGCTTTGTATCATAGAGAACCTATGCATTGTGACATCATGTTTTTTTTTACCCCGGGCTCAAGTCAGTTTACGGTAATTTGCACCCGACTTTGAAACCATTCAAAGCATATGTTACAAGCTACATTGGAAATAAAGTGCAATATCTTAAAATTGATTGATAGTGGTTCAGTCATTCCAGAGAAGAAACTGAAAATGCTTAATAGTTTTCAACAGATGTATCATGATGAAAGGGAATACAGAAAGAAAGAGAGAAAGAAATAGTGAAAATTTATGCATGCATGACTTTGGCCTTAAATGAACTTTAAAAAAAAAAAGGTCAAATAAGTGACTTTAAAGATCTTAAAATTTATTGTAAAAACATATAACAATTGCTTAATTAAAGTCTACAAACCTGCCTCCTCATCTTCAACTCTTTCAATTATATTTTCTTTTCCTAAAATATAAGTAAAAACATCAGCATAAAATGTCTTCATCTCCAAATCAACAAAAAAGAAGCAAAAGGTCCAAAAGGCCTTAACTGTCATCTGAATATAAAACAAATGAACAATAAAATATTCAAAGAATGGCAAGAATGTTATAAAACAAAATGAACTGATAGAGTAAGACATGTTGCTCAAAAACAAGACATTTAAAGGCCCAAGGGCCTTAGGGATCAAATGATTATAATTCAACACTTAAGTAAAAAAATACATGGAATAAACTATATAGAGCTATGTTGCTGAAGAGCAAGAGAAATAGGATAATTAGGGATCAACAAAATGATTAGTTTAGTACTTGGTAATAAATCTTAAATTAAATGTACTTGTCCCCATTTGTCACTATGTGTATCACCATGCAAACTGAACATAACAACAGTGCTTAAGCACTTTTAATAAAACCATCTCATATCCTCTTACATTGGCTATGCTTGGTCTTTGAGTAATATTTTAAATGTAAAAAATTTATTTTTCACTCATTCTTTATTTATTATTTAAATGTCTATCTGACCATTAAAAACAATGGAAGTACTTTAAATTTTGTATTATAAATTATAAATGTCCTTGTATGACTCTCTCATTCTATTCATTCAGTTGACCTTTCAATGACATTAATTACAGTGAGATAATTATCATATGTGAAAAGCAGAGAGGAATAATTTCTTTCAGAAGAAGAATACAAATTTACATAATGAAAGTAAGTGACCCAGTTCCCAGTTCTGGGGGGGGGGGGGGGGGGGGGCAATGCTATAATGTGCACTAACTAGTGTGATCTCTTGACCCATATGAATATAAATATGCTTCTTTGTAACCAATATTCTGTACATTCATAGAATATAGTGCACTCTTTTATGGGATTCATAGGGATCATAAAAAATTTGTTATAACCCAGAACTCCTTTTTAATCAGTTCTAATAACCAAAGTTTTACTGTATCCTACATAGATATTGTGAAATACTTGGTTAAGCTAAAAATAAAAAATCTATGTGTCTGCCACATCTGTACCAAAAATATTTCCATTTCTATTTGTTTTCTCTGTGATAATGCTTTGAAAGTTAGTTGAGTTGATTTCTTGATTATTCTACCAGAATGTAAATTTCGCCAAGCGATAGCTCAGAAGCTAAGGAGGCGTAATATGCATGTACATGTAAATCTTGTGCGTCTTTCTTTGTGTCTGACGTCAGTGGGCGGGGAATATTGAATTTGACATGGGAGGCCTCGTGTAATTTAAATCTATTAGTCTACATTTTAAAAATCTAAATTTACAATTTTATTTCACAATGAAATTGAAATATAAGGAATCACTGTCTAGTTAGTAGAGTATGCCAGGGACATCAATGATAGTTGGAAACGTGGCTTCGCCTGTTATGCAAATTACCCAATGTTTCCAACTATCATTGATGCCCTGGCAAACTCTACTAACTAGACAGTGATTCTCTAAGTAACCATAGATATTCTATACATATAAGATCAATAACACATACCAGCATATTAAAAACACTATTGCATGTAAAAATGAAATAAAATTAAGTAAACACAAATGAAATGTAAGATATACTACATGTGCATGTTGTCTCTCCCAGGTAGCAGAGATCAGAAAGCAATCATGAATAATTACCAGAGATAAGAAGAGGACTATGAACTATGGCAGTTCAGCTTTGTGCTTTTCTGGTCTTAGTGGTTCTTAGAACCTCATGAGAACAATATCTTCATAACAGCATAACAACTTTTTCAAAAGTCTCTGTCAGAATGTTTTTAATCTTTAATATTATGAAGAACATACCCAAATAATTAGAAAAAGTGATTAAAATATACACCTTTCCCCACAAACTAATGAGAGAAACTCTATTTATCAATACTTCTTTTGTTGATCTTTTTGTACTTACCCACGATTTAATTATTAAATGACTGTTTTGGGTTACATTCAGATTTACAATGTGAATATTTATCAAAAAATGTAAATTTTTTATTTAAAAAGATAATATCTAAGGGAAACATTGTTATTATACACCAACCATTATGAATAATTAACAAATAATTATGAAAAGGAATGCACGTCATTTCATGATAGACAATATAAAATTTACACACAATCTTTTACAGATCTGTGACTCAGATACATTTCATCAAGATATTGTACTATTTAGATTTATTAGGATTTTTGCATTCCTTCAAAATAGTTGCATGCTATTCACATATTATTACAGTTGTGCAGCTTCATTACATGAGACAGTCTTGGATTGAAGCCATAAAGTACGGGAAAAAGTAACATTAAATTAATTATGACGTCATAATGGATCTAGCACCAAACAGACAGACTAAATTCATTTACTCGATATGACGTCATACGATGTAGGTTCTAAGTTAAGAGTGTTGAATTTAGTCAGGAATATTAAGAACACCTCTTTAAATAACTCTTCTGAATTTACAAAATTAACACATCTATAAAACTAGATTTTTTCAAATTATTTAAAAAACTAGAAATATGTCCATAGGACATGAATGCCCGCTGAGTGTATATTAGTAATGCAACATGAAAATTTGTATTAGTGTATGAAGTCTGATGAGAATATCTTGAACAGTTTCTTTAAAACTGAAATCTTAAAAAATAGATATAGATGATAAATTCTCACCAAAGTATGTATAAGTGCATAAGCATACATAAAAATATCTTAAATATTTTCTTTAAAACTAAGCAAAATGGAAATTTAAGAGAAGTGAGGACAAGGTCACAGTAAAGGTCAAGATCAACAGTTTTTAATGTAGTTGAATAGCTCTCACTAATATGTATCAGCATATTAAATTTGATAAAAATATCTTGAATGGTTTATTAAAAAATAACTGAGCTAAACACTAATTTAAGAAAAGTGAGGTTAAGGTCAAAGAAAAGGTCAAGGTCAAAAAATGTTAATGCAGTTGAAAAGTTTACATCAGTATGTATTATTAGCTTATGTAATTTGATTAAATATCATGAATGTTTTTTTTTTTTTTAAAACTGAGCTAAACACAAATTTAAGAAAGTGAGGTCAATGTCAAAAGAAATGTCAAGGTAACAAATGTTGATGCAGTTGAATAGCTTACATCAGTATGAATCAGCATATGAAGTTTGATTAGGCCTACACTATCTTGAGCCTACACTATCTTGAATGGTTTATTCAAAACTGAGCTAAACACTAATTTAATAAAGGTCAAGGTCAAAAGAAAGGTAAAGTTCAAAAAATCTTGATGCAGTTAAAAAGCTTACTTCAGTATGTATAAGTATATGAATTGATAACAATACCTTGAATAGTTTCTTTAAAACTGAGCTTAACACAAATTTAAGAAAAATGAGGTCAAGGTCTAAGGAAAGGTCAATGTCAAAAAATGTTGATGCAGTTGAATAGCTCCCAGCAGTATGTATCAGCATACGAAGTTTGATAACACTATCTTGAATGGTTTCTTTAAAACTGAGCTAAACTCTAATTTAAGAAAAGTGAGATCAAGGTCAAAGGAAAGGTCAATGTCAAAAAATATTGATGCAATTGAATAGCTCTCATTAATATGTATCAGCATATGAAGTTAGATAAAAATATCTTGAATACTTTCTTTGAAACTGAGCTTTGAACTGAGTTAAATGCAACACGTGATGGAAGGAGAGACGTAAGGACAAGCATGGAAGATGCCCCGGCCCAAGGCTAAAAATAAATTTTAAGAGCATTGTAATATTTTAAATAGAAATTCATCACCAATGCAAAATGAAATATAAATATTTTATATCATTTATAAATACTATAAATGTTGCAAACTAATATATTATCCTGCTCAATGATTTTTACAATGTAGATTTAACTCAGTAGCCTATATTTAGATTACATTTTCAACCCCAGCATTTGTTTTCTTTATTATTCGTGACACATATATTTAGTACTAAGTAAAGATTGGGCTTTATGAAAAAAGATTCATACACACCAGCATGTGCAGGTTTTCCAGATGGTACTAAATTTCTTCTCTCTGAAAAGAAATGCTTCAATTATTAAAAGAATATTTTAAATGCAACTCTAAAAAAACTAAATTATTATTCATTATTCCTCTATACAAGTCATTTTTTGCAACCTCTGCTTGTACTCTTTTGAAATTTGGTCAAGACATATCAATTTGAGATAAAGTGACCAAACAAAACAGTTGTAAATGCAAGTCAGACAGCTGAAACTCAACTCAGTCATCTTGATTTTACTTTGAAGTGATTTAATAAATAATAATGAAATTACATACTGGGACACCATGCTGAGAATTAGGTCTTAATTAAAAGCAATATTTACATAAACTAGAAAAAGGAACCTAAAATTTTGATCATTTTTCATCTTTTAAAAATGTGCAGGCAGATTAAAAACCACTTTCTGACCTGCATTTCAGCATTTTTGATTGACTTAAATCTCTAAGTCTAGTGCAGTGATGATCATGATTAAACTCAGTCTTTGTAAGATGCTATTTTGGAATTTTCTTTATCCTTATACATAAATTTTTCACCTTACACTTGCACAGGATTTTCATCTATTTTTCGAGTTTTGGTTTGCCATCTCATTTTACTGTTTAAGAATTTAAATAAAATAAAATTTAATCTTTCAAAATATAAATATCAGTTTATTTAAAAACTAATTGCAAACTGAATGCCTATGCCAATCACTCAGTCTTATTTTAGAAACGTTGGACATTAATTATAACAGTAAAACAAACATTAGAAGTCTGAAAAGTACTCAACACCAAAGATACATGTACATGTATGTCCACATTTGTACATGTTGAAGGAAATCATACCCTGCAATTGGTGCAGACATCTGCAAAGTTGGTGCATCTTCAGCAGTTCAGATTTATGGAGAACAGACAGGTTACAGATGCAGACATTGTGAATAAAAACTCATGTTCTTGCACTTTCATTTATATGAATGTATTAAAAGATTATTTCATAAAAACATAAGGTTTTTTGTATACAGTACCTTCAGAAGTTCCTTCTTCAGTAGCTTTTCTCTGATTGCTTTCCTCATCAAAACTTTTATTATCAAGTGCAAGTTGTTGTTGACCTTTGAAAATTCAGACTTTGTATAAATATATTTAAACAAGCACAATAATAGCTGCAATACTGGTTAACTATTCACCCCACCACAAGCTAAATTACTGTAAACACAGTTACTTCTGATGTGCTACAATTGACTTTATACATACATGTATCTAGTTTAGTCACGAAATATGAAATTTTGCAAGTTACATTAAGATTATGAAGAGGATATTCAAACCCTCTGTTTTGATTTTACGAGCTACAAAAACCATGATTAAGGTTTATGAACAGAAGATGACTTCATACCTGAAATTACACTGGATGGAGTTTAGAATTATCATCAGTATCAAATCAAATGTAAATATATCATATTTCATGAATTTCTTCAATACTCTTGTTCCCCACCATTCCCAACTGTGTGCAACACATAATTTATTCTCGCAGGGGTAGCATGCCAATTATGAAGCTTGTGTTGTTTCATCAGATTGTGCACCTGACAAATTTTTGCTGTGCAGAGAATTCAAAAAACACGTTTTACCAGTGCTTCCTTTATGCCACTATGCTGGATCCATATTGTTTATCCCTCCCATGTAACTTGACATTTCATAGATTTAGAACTGCCGGTTCATTTAGAATATATGCAAATTGAGGATGGAAGCATTTCAGTTTCCTATTAATTTACATGTCTGTACTAATAAAAGAGTCCATGCATTGCCTATATTTTATTCAATCATTTTAAACTGTGAATTCCAGTCATGCTGTGTACCTGACCATATATAATTCAATGCACTGCCACTGAGCAGGGTGCTATTGACTTTGATTGTTGTCAAAACATGACAAGGTCTTAAATCTAAGCTAAGTTGTTGAGATAACAAGTATGATGAACCCTGAAAATTTGTATGTGCTTTACAAATAATGCACAAAATGAAGATATGGCCATAATATTCCTAGATTTCCATCCAATTCTTTTATAAAAATAGAGGGTGGTGAGCAGATTTTATTTTATTTTTTCCATTGTGTTTTTTGTTGACCTGATCAATTGCTGAAGATTTATCTATTATGCCCAAATAAAAGTCATAGTAGAGGTCCATTCATATATGCATATCTTTTTCTACACATCATCACCAATTTTTCACAACTATTGATCTTTGTTTAATACATATTACAGCAATTACCATCTTGTCAGCTGTCAAAATCATGCTGACATTCGGGGGATTCAAAACAAAAGCTGAATGGTGGTTAAATACCAATCTCGATCAGAATCAAGACAAAGAAAAACAGAAATTTAAAACAAACTCGTGGCGGGGGTAAAAAATCAGGGTGGACGGGGATGAGAATCTATGATTTCTTTTTATTATGGCCTATATTGCACTATTTTATTCAAAATGAATACCAGTTTTAGTATTCAATACTCAGACCTTTCAAAAAGTACTTGAGAAACCTGTTACTTGTACACAACCATGATATAAACGTGTAATATATTTATATATATTCCTGTTCTTATATACATTCTGTTTTTATATTGTAGTAACTACTTTGGAAAGAAATTTTGCCTCATACAAGCTAAAAATGCCTTAGTATGCAACTAAAAAATGCTGTCTCACATGAGCTAAACATGTTTTAGTATGCCATTAAGATAAATTATGTTGAAGAAATTCATTGATTAAATAGGATCTAGGATAAATAGAATTAACAAATTCTTAAATGTTTTTTTTCTATACATGTACATCCAATTAGTACATAGTACATGTGACTGTGATTACATGTAACAATTCAGCAGTTCTATAATTCTGTAAAATTCAGCAGCTAGAGTTTCTGGGTATATTCACCTTCTCTTTTTCGTCTACGTCGTCTGTACACCAAAATAGCAAGGACTATTGCCACAAGGACTGCAACTACTCCTATTATGATAGAAACAATGTATCCTTTATCTTCGGAATGTCCTCCTGACCTAAAAAATCAACACAATGAAAGTCCTGAAAAGATGTTAGGTATAGCATGGTTCATAAAATAGAATTAGCAAAACATTCGTGTGTCTATAATGTTGCTTTTAAAGTATTGTAGAGCAAATTGAGCAGATTCCAAAGGAAGCAGGAAGGCTGATTTTCTTTGTGGTATTTTTAGCTCACCTGAGCCGAAGGCTCAAGTGAGCTTTTCTGATCAAAATCTGTCCGTTGTCCGTCGGCAGCGGTGGCGGCGTTGGCGTTGTTGTCGTTGTAAACTTTTCACAATTTCATCTTCTTCTCCAGAACTACTATGCCAATTTCAACCAAACTTGGCACAGAGTATTTTTGGGTGAAGGGGATTCAAGTTTGTTCAAATGAAGGGCCACGCCTTCCTCCAAGGGGAGATAATTATGAATTCATGAAAAATTAATGCCATCATTTAAAAATCTTCTTCTCAAGAACCACTGTGCTTGAAAATATGAAACTTATATCGAAGCATCCTCAGGTAGTGTAGATTCAAGTTTGTTCAAATCATGACCCCCGGGGGTAGGGTGGGGCCACAATGAGCAATCAAAGTTTTACATAGGAATATATAGGAAAATTCTTTAAAAATCTTCTTCTCAAGAACAGCAAAGCCATGATTGGTCATATTTATATGGATGCATCCTCAGGTAGTGTAGATTTAAGTTTGTTCAAATCATGACCCCCGGGGGTAAGGTGGGGCCACAATGGGCGATCAAAGTTTTACATAGGAATACATAGGAAAACTCTTTAAAAATCTTCTTCTCAAGAACAGCAAAGCCATGATTGGTCATATTTATATGGAAACATCCTCAGGTAGTGTAGATTCAAGTTTGTTCCAATCATGACCCCCAGGGGTAGGGTGGAGCCACAATGGGCGATCCAAATTTTAAATAAGAATACATAGGAAAAATCTGTAAAAATCTTTTTCACAAGAACAACAAAGCCATGATTGGTCATATTTATATGGAAGCATCCTCAAGTAGTGCAGGTTCAAGTTTGTTCAAATCATGACCCCTGGGGGTAAGGTGGAGCCACAATGGGTGATCAAAGTTTTACATAAAATACATAGGAAAAATTTGTAAAAATCTTTTTCTCAAGAACAGCAAAGCCATGATTGGTTTTTTTAATGGGTGCATCCTCAGGAAGTGTAGATTCAAGTTTGTTTAAATCATGACCCCCCAGGGGTAGGGTGGGGCCACAAAGGGCGATCAAAGTTTTACATAGGAATACATAGGAAAAAGCAAGCCTTTTAAAATCTTCTTCTGAAGAACAGCAAAACAATAATTAGTCATATTTAAATGCAAGCATCCTCAGGTAATGTAGATTCAAATTTTGTTCAAATCATAACCCCCCAGGAGAATACAGGGGCCATAACAGGGGATCATAGTTATACAAAGAAATACAAATGATATATCAATAAGAATTGTCTTCCTAAGAACAGCATTAGTTGTCATATTAATTCAAAAGCATCCCTTTGAAGTATAGAATCAAGTTCAAATTACCCCCCCCCCCCCTCGAATGACTTTTATATCAAAACTTTTCAAGACTGAACTGATTTCTGCTTTTTCCTAGACAGAGTGCTCAGGTGAGCGATGTGGCCCCTGGGCCTCTTGTATTACTTGTTCTAAATAACACCACTTTCAAAGAACTGGATGACTTTAATCTGCATGTATATCAATTTGTACCTTATAACTGCATATTCAATAAATTTATAATTATATTGTAAATTTCTTTCAAGTGATACTTAAGAAAACACTGTAAACAAGAGGCTCATGGGCCACAATGCTCACCTGAGAATCTTTTTTAAGAAAATGAGATAAGTCATCCATCTCTGGCACTTTGTTATAAGCGTGTTTTACTGTACATCCTATAGGATGACATTTTACAGACAACACACAACACATGACAGCCAGAGAGATGGATGGAAGCAAGACACTTTGATCAGAAAAAGTAATTTAGCCTTTTGCACAGGTGAGCTAATACAAAAGGGCCAAAGGCCATGTTGCCCACCTGAGCACTTTGGCTAGCCTAAGGAAAAATCAGTATTGAAAAATTTAAATACATAAGTAGTATACGAGGGTTGTCCATAAACTTCGTGGACAACCTCTATCACACAGCCTTGGATTTTGTGAATAAAAATAAATAAGGTTTAAGATTAAATTCAGACTTTACTTGTACTGTTTATCAATTTTCAAGAGAATGCAATAATTGGAAAATATTAATATCAAGCTTCAAAAAGTTTTGCTATTTGCACCCGGAGCACACAGCGACAACATTAAAAAATGTCTTAAGTGCAAGCTACCTTTTAAGAAAAGTCTTCGTATTTTCTCAATTTTATCTCATTTATTGTGTTGTTTTACCTATTTATGAAAGATGTCTTCATATCGGCCAGTTTTTATAAAAAAAATTTAATGTGATTTACTTTTAAATATCTTCCAGTTTAATGAAAGTTCCCAGTAGAGCAAACCCAGCCTTTGCTTTCACTGAAGCTTGAAGAGAACCCTTATATATATGTTTTCATCAATTTCAAGTGTCATTTTAAAAGTTATGCAAATGAATGACGTGTTTTTTTCACCTGATGAAGAGTGATTTAAAAACAAAACAACAGATTAACCACCTACCCCCCCCCCCATTTTTGTAAAGATAAAACAAGTAAATATGAATTACAAATTATAATTCATTTAACTATTTTTTTCCAAATATACATACGAGTATATACATTAATAAAAACATTTTTTTTATGTCCCTTAATTGAAGAAAAAATCTATTTGTAATTATAAATATGAATAGAAAATATAAAAAATAACAGAAATTATTTACAAATTATATAATGAAAACACATTTCTCAAAAAATAAAATAGAGGAGAAAAGTTTGATAGTGACTATCTTCTGTGTTAGTCACAATTGTCTTTATCTTTTTCATACAACCTGTCTGAAAAATTAACGCAATGTATTACATGTATTAATTTACATATTTTAAGAGAAATAATTCATAAGAATACAGTTGTAATTTTGAAATTTCTAATTAATTAATGTAACGTTGAAAAATATATAATTTATAAATATCACTTACATAAATAAAAGTAAACTGTAGGTATACAAATGTTACGATTAACTTCTGATGCTAACAGGCATACTGATTGGTCAATGTGCTGATTGGTCAATGCGTTAACTTGACTGACAGCTCTGTTATGTAATACTGAATGCCGGGTGCACTTTCTGGGTGCCCTTCTGAAATCTGGGTTCACTATCGGCGTTCGTTTTGGGTCTGCTGCGGGTTTGCTTTGGGTGCGCTCTGGGTTTGCTTTGAGTCAGCCCTAGTGGACTCAAAAAGAACACGGAAAGAGAACCCAGAGTTCGCTTGGGGTTCACTTTCTGTTAGATTGTGTCTGATCGGTACTGTAATTGAATCTATATTACCATGGACATACAGTCAAACCTCATTATCTCGAACTCAATGGGACCAAGAAAAAACTTCAAGATATCTGAGGATTCTAGATATCCAGAGTAAAATGCTTAAAGAATAAGGGGTTGGGACTTCCAAATCACTTCGACATATCTATGGTATTCGATATATCAGTGTTCAAGATACCAAAGTTCAACTGTATAACCAATCATGGCTTTGCTGTTCTTGAGAAGAATATTTTTAAATATTTTCCAAACTTTGATAACCTATTGTGGCCCATCATACCCCTAGGGGAAATGATCTGAACAAACTTGAATCTACATCCTGAAGATGCTTTTCTATCAAACTGACTAACCATGGCTTTGCTGTTCTTGAGAAGATTTTTAAAGACTTTTCTTAGTTACATATTTCTATCTTAAACTTTGATTGCCCATTGTGGCCCCACTCCTCCCCAAGGGGTCAAGATTTCAACAAACTTGAATCTACACTACGTAATAAAGCTCTCATATAGGTTTCATTACATCTGGCCAGTTGGTTCTTTAGAAGATTTTTAAAAGATGCCATTTAATGTCCCCTGCTTTTGCAAAAGCCAAGGAAAATTAAATCTCTGTCAGTTTGTCCATCTGTCAGTCTAGCTGTCTGTCTGTTACTAATAAAAACTTTAATCTTGGTCATAACAACACTTTTGAATGAGAAAAGATTAGGCTTTCCTATTTCACATGTACATGTACATTACCTGTGACCTTTCCAAATACACTACAATTTTTTACCCTGTGACCTTGACCTTGAAGTTTGACCTACTTTTTAAAAAAAAAATTAACATTACTTTTACCTTGGTCAGAACTTTTGATTGAGAAGAGATAGAGCTTTCATATTTCATATGTGATCTTTCAAAATATACTGTGAATTTTTACCCTGTGACCTTGTTTGACCTACTTTTTAGAATTTTAATATTGGTCATATCTTTTGTATGAGAGAAGACTTTCAAATTTGATATGTGCATTGCCTGTAACAAGATGTTTCCAAATATGCTATGATTTTTGACCCACGACTTTCACCAAAAGTTTTACCTAATTTTCAAAAATTTTCAATTTGGCGATAAGATTTGAATGGCAGAAGAAATGGTATTCATATTTGACTAGTGCATTATCTGTGACAAGAAGTTTTGGAATGAGTTATGATATTTGACCACATGACATTGACCTTCAAGTTTGTCCTAGTTTTTAAAATTTTATCACTGCTGCTAACTCTTAAAGGAGAGAAGATATGGCATATACATTTGACTTGTGCATTACCTGTGACAAGACCTTTTCAAATGTATTATGATTTTTAACCCAATGACCTTGGCCTGGAATTTTGTCCTAGCTTGATTAGCTTTCATTGAGAGAAGATAAGGCATATATCTTTGGCATCTGCATTACCTGTTTCAATACCTTTCCAAATGAAAGAAAAAGTGAGCAAGCTCACATGCCCTATGTTTCCCCAAAACTTGACAATTCAACACATAATGAATGGTATGTTGCACTTTAAATACACAGTATAATATAAAAAAGGGGCATTACTTGCAAAAAATCATCAAGCCAAAACTTCTTGCATATAAGGACATTCAAATGGCCAAAAATCTAAGTTAAAAAGTGCTGAAATTCCCAGAAAAATAATAGAATTGGAATTTCCTGGCACATCTACACCATGTGTCCTAAATATCTGCAAAGTTTGACCAAATTCTGTGCAGTGGTTTAAGAGGACTTGCTCTAACAAACTGTTCCTCTCTATATTCAAGATATAGTCAAAAATCTAAGTAGAAAAGTGATGAAATTCCCAGAAAAATAATGGAAACAGAATTTCCTGGCAATATGCATAACTACACACTGTGTTCTAAATATCTGCAAAGTTTGACGAAATTCTGTGCAGCGGTTTATGAGGAATTGCGCTGACAAACAAAAAAAGACTGACGAACTGACTGACTGACAGACAGGTCAAAAAACATTATACCTCATGCAACTTGGGGTATAAATAACTCTGGTTTTTGACCTCTTGACCTTGACCTCTAAGTTTAACGTACAGTATTTTTCATTGTTTATTTTTGGTTAGAACTTTTGAATGAGAGCAGATAAGGTTTTCATATTTTACATGTAAATTACCCATGACAACACCTTCCAGAAATGTATGTCATTTCTGACTTCATGACCTTGATCCAGAAGTTTGAAGAACACACAAATTAGACAGTTACAATATTCCATAAATAAGTGCATTTTAACCACTAAGACCACAATTCTTTGCATTTGCTTGTTTTCACCAATTCTTCATTCTGTATCTCCCATTAAAAGAGGGGGTGGCCCTTCATTTGAACAATCTTGAATCCCCTTCACCTAAGGATGCTTTGTGACAAGTTTAGTTGAAATTGTCCCAGTGTGTCATGAAAAGAAGTCGAAAATGTGAAAAAATTTATGATGATGTCAACGTGAACACCACCAATAGATAACAGACAAATTTTGATCAGAAAAGCTCACTTGAGCATTCAGCTCAGATGAGCTAAAACCAAAAATGAAAAAAAGAAATTACAGTCATAAAGGATGTAAGCATACCCTTTAAGTACAGACACTGTTGTTGTTAATACTGTTGTGTCAGAGGGAAAAGGAATCATTGTTGTTGGTTTTTCTGTTGTTGATTTCTTTGTGAGGTTATAACAACCAGGGTCTGAAAGAAAATTCACTTTCTAATTTTAAGGTGAAATGACCCTCTGAAAAGACAGATAACTTCCTTAGACAAGAGGCTTAAGGGCCTTAAAGGTCACCTCAGTATAATACAACACTGTAAAGGATAGAGGTATAAAGCAAAATTAACTGATAGATGAAGCTATGTTGCCCAAGAATTTCACAATTCTGGAAAAATACCCTTGCCTATTGTAACATGTAAGACCCGAGCAATCTCCTTGGGATTGTACTTGGTTTGCCTAAGTCTTACAGGGATGATAATGAATGCAAAATAAACAAATACAATGGACACTTGCCTAGTTTATAAGGTATCATACATATACGGATATGTTTTTGTCACTTGCTTAGTGCTTAAGTACACAAAGAGAAATACCTAATGGCTCTACATTTACATCGGTGAGGCCTGTTGGCTTCACAAACAAATTAGCTGCTTGCCACTTGGTACATGTAACACTTGGTACCAACACTTGTCTCTTGGGTATACCAACAACTTGGTAATACTTGTTACTAGCACCTGCCACTTGACTTTACAACGTGGCTATTTGTCACTTGTCAGTAACTACAATACATCCCCTAGTCACCCTGTGTCTGATCACTTGTTCACTACAATAAAATATAAAACAACTTTATAGACAATGGAACTTGGGGGGGGGGGGGGGGGGAGAGGCATTGAAAATTGAGGCTTAGCACCCCCTTATGGTTTTTTTTTTGCTGGTTTAGACCCAGGGGCCATGAAATTCACATGAAATTCACAATTTTGGAAGAGGCACCCTCTCCTCACCATAACTATGCATTTAGTTTGTTTCCTTAATACCAAGAAGTAGAGGAGAAGATTTTCAAAGCATTAATTTACTTCAGAGCCCCGTCGTAACACTGGAACCGCTGACAAAGGGGTCATGAAATTCACAAATTTGGAAGAGACACCCTTCCTCATCATAACTATTACTTAAATCATCGGCATAATACCCAGGAGCAGAGGAGAAGATTTTCAAAGAATTAATGCATTTTCACTATAAATAAGCAATAGAGCCCCCTAACACCAGAACCCCTGACCCAGGGGCTATGAAATTCACAATTTTGAAAGAGACACCCTTCTTCATCATAACTATGCATTTAATTTGTTTCCTTAATACCAAGGAGCAGAGAAGAAGATTTTTTTAAGAAATAATGCATGTTACCATATATTAATCAGAGCCCCACCCTAGCACCAGAATCCCTGATTCTGGGGCCATGAATTTCACAATTTTGGTAGAGGGCTCAATGTTTATTACAGTTATGTGCCAAAAGTATGACTGCTTGATGTCCAGGAGTGAAGAGGAATTTTTTAATGATTGCATTAATTTTGATGGTTTTAGCCCCACCCTGCAGACCCCAGGGGGACAAGGACCATGAATTTCACAATTTTTTATACCCTTCACCCATAGATACTATATGCCAAAATTGGTTGATATCGAATCAGCTCTTTCAGAGAAGAAGCTGAAAATGTACAAATGTAAACACATGATGCACATCACATGACAACAGAATGAAGAGAGATAGCAATAGGTCACCTGAGTGATGAGCCAGATACAAAAAAAGTAAAAGACAGACAGATGGACAGACAGACAGACAGATGGGCATGATGGCCATACTAAAATACATCCTGCCATAGACAGGCATACAAAAATGAATCTCATGTCAAACAAGTCAACAGGTGAAATTAAGATTCATCAAACTTAAGGAGGTTGGATTCTGTTATCACAAGTATTGAGAATTTTTTATGAAGTATATTTTTAAAATCTACACATATAGTTTAATTAAAAATCAAAACCAAAAATGGGGGTCAATGCGCTTCCTTTGGCGCTACAGAGCATTTAATATGACCTTTTTACACTGCAATTACATCTAACACAAATCAATGTTTCAAAGTTTTTCCTCTAATAATTTTCATCCAGATAAATTTATATGGGAACAAACACAGTCTTTTTTCATCTTGAATAGTCTCTTTAAAATTTGTGACAACAAAAGAAGTTTCAAATTACTTCGCATAGTCAATTATTTGACCTTTTTTGCACTCAGAAAATGTCATTTTTCTAGCAATAAAAATTTAACAAGCAATAAAATCATTTAAAAGTAATGACATTTTTCTGAATTTAAGCAAAATGGTTAAAATTGTCTTGTATATTCAGAAAAGAAAATTAAAAGTGGGGTCTGTGATGTTAATTTTTAGATATATCTTAAATAGTGTTAATTTTTAGCCTAAAGTGGGCTATTTTTTCCCCAGGACTTTCACAATATATTTGCTATATTTGTCCAATATGATGATAGAATTCATGACGGTTAACTTAATATTTTATTTAGAACCAGCACAAAACATTTCAGTGCACAAAATAACTCTTTGTGCAGACTGCATGTAAAAATAGGATTCCAAACTTAACAATACTGTGAATATTTCGAAAGAGAAAAATTGAGCATTTTCTTCTCAAAAACCTTCCGCCACAAAATATAGTTCCTCATTTAATGATTTCGGTATGGAATTTAATCATGGCGTTTTAAATGAATATAGTTTAATTAGCATTGTAGAATCCAAATTTGATGTAAGAACTAAAACATTACGCAGAATTTTTTAAAAAGAGGTCAAGACAAAAATCTGCTCAAAAGCTCAGGAACGAACCTCGTTACCACAAAAATTGGTCTCTTAGAAAAAATCAGAATAAAATGTGTGTTTGTCATTCGATATTGACAAATTCAATTTTTAAAGATAGAAACATTTATGTTAAATTTGTAAATAACCGAACAATATGTATTAATTCATAGTATTCTCTGATATAAACAAGAGGAGATATACCAAACATAAATTTAATTGCCTTTATGTTCCAATGTATGAATGAATTACACCTCTGAAAATTAAAAATGTTAAAATCATTCCTGATTCTTTTTCATATATCATCATCAGGCAACAAAAAAAAGTGTGTTTCCAATATCCAGACTAGCTCTAATTTTACCCTCCTACCCTACTACTCTCTATTCCAAACCATATTTTGAACTGTGCTTTTGTTCACTTGTGCAGTTTACTCATAGTGTAGTCAATAAAAGGCATGTCTCAGATACTATAAAAATGTGTCTATCCAAGAGTTTTAAAGAGCACACTTGATGAAAAACGATGTATTGAATGATTAACTGAAGCTTTCACTATAAAAAGCTAAAATAAAAGTTATCAACTACCTACTTACCCTATTTTTTTTTTTTTTTTTTTTTGGGGGGGGGGGGGGGGGGGGGTAATGGAAACACACATATATTAAACATACTTTTTTATTTGGCCTTCATACATGACCATATTCATAAAATACTTTCCATCTTATTCTACTTGAGTTTTTCATGGTACATGTATATATGACCATAATTACAAAGTTCAGAAAGGGCAAACTAATTAGTGCTGTAGTATATAACTTATATTTTTAAGGACAACTTTGATAAGTTATGTAAAGAAAAGAAAATAATTTATTAATACCCACATTTGTATGTCTCATTGGAGGGATATCCAGTTGGACATGGGTTTTCGATGAAGTTGGTACAAGCTGCACCCAATCTTGGCTGAATTCTGTTTGCACTGTAGCTATATTCTGTACAGTATCCTGCAAAATTGTTGTACCTAGTATTTAGTCCTATGTGTAATCATTGCTCGATTTTAATCATCATCCATATGATATTAAGCTCAATTTGCTTAAGAGCTGCCAATTAATTTATCAAACATTTCGAAATAATAGGAAATAACATGTAAACTTACAAACTTAAGGGAAAAGTTAAACATTCATTCTCTATTAATTATAACAAGGCTATTGATAATACAAAATGGTATTTGATAAAAAGACCCAAATTAAGATCATATGTATAAGTACATACCAAATACAATAATCTTTTTATATGCACAAACTTCCAATGTTCCATTTAGAGATGAACTTATCACACAATGGTACACAAAGTTTCCAGGATCACTACACTGGCTGGCAAATGCTGAGCAGTTTTTTCTTTGAGAAGCTTCAATCCATTCTTTCTTGCTGGTTGGACAGTTTTCAACACTCTGTACAGTGCTTTTAGATGCAGAACAAGAATCAGTGTTGGCATTTGTTATCTGTAAAATATTATTGAATGAAAGAAAAATTGAATTAACTAGCAGTTAATCTAATTTTTGACTCAAAAGCTGGCCTGAGTTAGCTAAAAAATGGCAGGCCATCAGATAGTGTTTATACACAAAACTGTTACATGTACAGTATATTTTTTTTTTGGGGGGGGGGGGGGGGAGCTATTTTTTTCAGATTTTAATTTTACAGAAATGATCAGATAAAAATTCAAAAGTGGATGAAGAATAAGTATTTTGTGAATTAAATTGCTATTGCATTATTTTTCTGTCATTACTCTGCCTGTAAGCAGTGGAAAGGGAAAAAGAGGAGGGGGAGGAAGAAAGAAATAATTTTGTTTCCCTTTATCCATAATATTACACATCAAAAACTGTTGAAATTTGTTCTTCAAAAAGCTGTAATTGTTCAAAAGTTTATAAGCAATGCAAAACAGACAGGGAAAAAAACAGCAATAGCTTTGCATGGGTTCAACTGTGCAATTTACTCTGTTACTAGATGACATAAACAAGAAATGGATTTCCCTAAACCTTCCTAATTCATTCTAATACCCAAGTTTTTTGTTGAAACTAAGTTGCTCAGTGGTTCAAAAGAAGAGATAAAAATTTGAAAAGCTTACAAGCATGCATACATGCCCATTTAGATCAATACACATGATAATGGCAAACAAAACTTTGATCAGATACCACACATTCTGACAGTTGACCCAGTCTAGTAATTGAGTGGTCCGGTCATGTAAAATCTATGTGAACTAGACAGACTAGTGGTATATATATCAAATAAACATGATAAATGCAAACCCTTAAATATTCTAAAAACTGATTGTATTATTTATAATCACCCAACCATAAGGAAAATTTCACTGCAACTGCAAGTTTTGCATGCTTCTAATAGAGAGATGCAGTTAAAAATAACTTTGTTCAGAATTGCTAGAAATTATTATTTATCATTTAATTTATACGTGTTTCCAACAATCCTCCAAAAGAAATTTCAGTCTGTCTTTACTGCAATTGTACATTTACATGTTCCATTGTAGAATACTGATCCTGATGTATTTTCTTACTACGTATACATGTATTTAAAAAACATATCAGTTTGTGTGGTAACTGTTTTAATTATTATACAGTTTCAAAGTACAGTGTCGTGAGCTACTAACATATATAAATGCTAATTATCAAAACCCTACCTCTCAAAATTCAAAAGACGCAAGTTAAATTGAACCATTCTTGTCCGGAGAACTTTTTGCAAAGTAGGTCAGAGGTCAAGTGGACCGTAACGCAGGTATTTTTTATAATGTTTTATGACAAATGGTGTACATGCTAAGTAGCACAGACTGACCTCTTAAAAAATTTTAAATGTCAAGAATATGTTGTATATATCAGCACTATGAACTGTTTTGAAAAGTAAGACAAAGGTCAAGTTCAAGGGTCATGAGGCTGGTAACCATGGTAACCATGGTATTTTACAAAAGCCACAGTGCCAAGCAATATCTGTGCAAAAAATCAAACCAATACTTCTGAAAGGTTTTGAGATATAATATGTGTTACAGAAAGACAGACGCCAGGTAAAGTGATCCCTAAGTATAATCACACTGCTCTGCAAGCGATACAAAAATGTAATGCATGACACATACATGGATTATGGACCCAAAGAAATTATCAACATGTTTTTTTTTTAATTTTTATTTTCCACTTTATAATATTGATTAGATAGAGTGAGAGCATAACATACTTTTGAATCAATATAAAATTCTAAATTAATAATGATTGCCTAGTTAGATATGTAGAAGAAATCTTTATTATAATATGGTTTGTCAGTGTTTAAGGATTCTAGACACATCTCTCACCAAAAAAAAAAAATGTTTCTACATGTTCTAGAATACAATTTAGACAAGGGCAGATTGCTATGAACTTGCTACATGAACTTAAGACACCTATCCATAATTAAAACTGCTTATGGTGCTTATCTGCAGTGTCATCACTTCAAGTTATATTGTTAACTGACTTGGCCATGTTTCAACATTTGATATTTGATATATATTTAAGGATTTAAATCACTTTTAAGAGGTACAGATATATTTTATACATTTATTCACACATATGGAAAGTAAGGTTATTCCCTTCACCATCATTACCATCTTGCCTCATGCAAGGCTGTACAAAGCAATATCATGGGGTGGGGGCACAACCAAACTTCAGTTAGGGTGGGCACTACCACTTTCTGCTATCAAGCAAAATATAATTTTTGAGGGGGAACATCTATAAAGTAGCTTTGATTTCTATATTACACTACATGTATTTATAAATCAGCAAAATGATTGCCTCCCCCCCCCCCTCCCCCCTCCAGTTCCTCTAACCATTTTATATGCATTTATCAACATCCTCACATCACTGCCACCAGTGGATTTACAGGACCCCTCACAGTGTGAGGATGACCTAACTAGATCCAAATAATACATAGGTAAGTTTATACCTGATTTTAAAAAAATCTGTAGCTAGTAATACCTACTGGGTAAAATCATGCAAAAATTCATACTAAAGAGATCGAGTTTCATAATTATATTAAAAATCTAAAGTGCAAAATCATAGTCAGGTCAAAATGGACTTTACACTTTGGTGAAAGTTAACTGCACCAGGAAGTTGTCAAAGTCTGAAAGTACACTTGGCAAAACAATAATGACTAAAAATTCATGAAATACATGTAGTATGTGCCTGGTAAGTTGAAAACAGCTTTTGTTTGAGATTGTAAATTATTTTGGCAGGTAACAATGCTGTAGAGTCTTTTAATACAGTTTGTTGCATTAGTTTTGGACACACAAGATTAACAATATCATTTGCATGTCTAGCCACATTGACTTTTAATTGTTACTTTACCTTTAATTCATTCACAAGCTTTTTCACTTTGAGATGATTTCAAAGAAAGACTAACAGTTTATGTATAGAGAGAAATCGTCATAATCAATGGGTATATAATTTTAAAGTAAACTGGTAAAGTCTGTGAACCAGAATGTACATTTTACAATAACCATGGGAACCCGAGTGTGTAAGTGACACCTTAATTACCACATAAATTTATTTCGAGTTTAAAAATTTTGCAATGATTTCATCAAATTGATTGCATTTCTTTTTTTTCTCTCTCTCTCTTCACAATCATCTAAGTAAACATTTTACAATAACCATGGGAACCTGTGTTTACACCTAATTATTTTATTAATTATCTTATTAATTTATTTCAAGCATAAAAATTATGTAATGATTTCATCAAATTATATGTTTTAATTGTTTTTTTCTCTCTCTTATAATAATAGCATTCAAACTCTATATTTCAATCTATTATATGTGTAGACAATAATAGAATATAATTATTTTGAAGTTTTCTGTATATTTATAAAATTTTACACTATTTCCATGCTAATCAGTAGTCATCAAACTCAATATTTCATTAAATCTTCATTGCAACAAAATGTTATATTTTAACATTGAGCAGTGCTAGAGCTCTATTAAATGCCTGTGAACAAATGCTACATGCAGTAAAGTTTTACTTATTATTGCCAGGTCCTTGTTGTCCCTGTTATTGCATTGACTTCTGCTTCAGATAGCTTTTAAAATACCAGATTGGATCTGGTCAACTGCTCTTATCATATAAACTTATTTGTGCAACTAAATGTCATAAATTTACAATGTTGAAACAGAAAGACCATGTTGACAGGGCTAATAAATATCAAACTATATATTAAACAAGCAATTTTAAACATATGATTCTATAAACAAGCTCTGCAGTACTGTGAACATTACTTTGGTTTTTTTAGTTGGATAGGGGGGAAAAAGAAATAAAATCCTCCCTTCAGACCTTGTTTTATTTTTATTAATATGTAAATGTACCAAACACATTTTCTTTGTCCTAAAAGAAGACATTCAGTTACCTGTACGTTTTGTAGAAAAATAATGATCACCGCTGTCAGAGGCACTGCAATAAATAATACACTTTGGTAGACCTAGGTAGATAGGCCTAATTACATGCATCACAGACCGTGTTCATTTCAGCATCTGACTTGTTATTATAATTATTTTTATTTCTCATGTTATAAAATATTTCGGATCCAATTTTGCTAAACAGAAATATTAAAGATTTAAATGGAAGTGCAAGAAAAATAAATGTGAAAATTTTATCGCGATCATTGGAAAAATTTGGGGATAGCTTTCTGGGGATGCACCAACACAAAACGAAAGTAGAACATCGGGTTTGTAAACGTAACCCAGCTTTCGTCCGGAAAATATCTTCAGAGAATTACCAAAAAAAAAAATCACTGAACCATTTTCATTTTTCAAATCAGTTAAATTTTAAAAATTATTACAAATAGGCCTCTGAATTAACCAGTTCATTTCCCTATTCTTTTTCTTTTCTTTCACATGTTCCGCATTCATTAAGGGCACGCCAGCTGGTGAGGGGGGTAAATATAGTGAGCATAGAAGGAAGATAATTTCAAGTGCAAGAAATATTAGATCTAGAGAATTATGTCTAGTCCAGTCATTTTAATATAAATGAGCATGTTTCTTATTTTTCTACATAAAATTCAATTATTAAATTTATTTCTAATCATTCTTTTATTTATTTTTTTTAAACCAAGAAAGTCAAACAACCAAATTATGAACATGCTTTTACACCAGAAGTTGAATATAACATTAAAACACTGTACAGATTAAAGGAAAGTAAAAAAAAATAAAATGTCTCATCAAAATCATTGATGTTCCTGAAATGATTTCGACAATGATTTTCAAAACTGTCAAGTTCTGTATTGCAGTAGAGCCGACAACACCATTCATATCTTCGGGGACTTGTTTTACACCGCTTCCTTGTGATGTCCGTTTAACTTTTTCTCTTTACATCATCAGAATCCATCTATAATCAAAAAGATGTTTTTAAAAAAAATCAACTGTGTGAGTCTAAAAGTGGGTTCCACCCGGAGTTTGCAAGTTATTTAATGTATTTAACGTGAGAAACTAAAAAGAAAACAAGAGGCCCATGGGCCACAACGCTCACCTGAGTAACACTTTGGCCTCGCTGTTTTTCACCTGATCCCCCCCCCCCTTGTACTTATTGTGGGCCTGTCCTACCCCCAGGGGTCATGATTTGAACAATTAGATTCTACTCTACCCCAGGTTGCTTCCACTTAAGTTTCAGCTTTTCTGGCCCAATGGTTCTTGAGAAGATATTTAAAGATTTTTCCTACATATTTTAATGTGAAAATTGGATTCCCTTTTGTGGCCCCGCCCTACTTCCAGGGGTCATGATTCGAACAATTTAGCATCTACACTACCCCCAGCATGCTGCCACGTCCTTAAGTTTCAGCTTTTCTGGCCCAGTGTTTCTTGAGAAGAAGATTTTTAAAGATTTTTACTACATATTTCAATGTAAATTTGGATTCCCTATTGTGGCTCCGCCGTTCCCCCGGGAGTCATGATTTGAACAATTTAGAATCTACTCTACCCCAGGATGCTTTCACTTAAGTTTCAGCCTTTCTGGCCCAGTGGTTCTTGAGAAGAAGATTTTTAAAAAAAAATCCTGCATATATCAATGTTAAACTTGGATTCCATATTGTGGCCCCGCCCTACCCCAGGGGTTCATGATTTGAAGAATTTAGTTTCTACACTTCCCTAGAATGCTTCCACATTAGTTTCAGCTTTTCTGATCCAGTGGTTCGGAGAAGAAGATTTTTAAAAATTTTTACAACATATTTCAATGTAAAACTTGGATTCCCTATTGTGGCTCCGCCCTTCCCCCGGGGGTCATGATTTGAACAATTTAGAATCTACTTTACCCCAGGATGCTTCCACTTAAGTTTCAGCTTTTCTGACCCAGTGGTTTTTGAGAAGAAGATTTTTTAATGACCCCATCCAATTTTTGTCTTTTCTGGATTATCTCCTCTTTGAACGGGGCTTGGCCCTTCATTTTAACAATTTAAACTCCCCTTCACCCAAGGATGCTTTGTACCAAGTTTGGTTAAAATTGGCCCAGTGGTTCTTGAGAAGTTGAAAATGTGAACAGTTTACAGACGGACGGACGACGGACAATTGGTGATCAGAAAAGCTCACTTGAGCTTTCAGCAAAAAAAAAAAATAATTTGGCGGTGCCCCCTCCCCTCCAAAAAAAGGATAAATAACATGTATGTATATATTTTTTATATATTCTTTTTTTTAGAAAAGAAACAACAAGCACTTGCACAAATATTTTTGATTTTTTTTTATCGAATTTTAGATTATGAAGTTCTCTCTCTCTCTCTCTCTCTCTCTCTCTCTCTCTCTCTCTCTCTCTCTCTCTCTCTGTAAACTGAATTAAAATAATTATAATATTTGTGTAGGGCATAGCAAAAAATGAATAAATAAATAAGAGTTTAAACATTTTCTTACGCTGTATTGATATTGAGTCACCGGAACGTATATGAATAAGTCTGTCCTCCATATTTATTGTTGCTGTTTCTTTAAAATTTGAATATATATTTCCGCCAATTCACGTGTATCATGTATATTGTCTTTGTATATACGCAGGTAGGTTAAGGCTTCCCGTTGAAATATCACAGTGCACTCTGTGCCTTCACATCTCTGAGCTACCAAAATATGACGTCATAATGGAAAATGACGTCAAGTCACTGCAAACTTGAGGTGTTATGACGGGGAGAGTGTCATGAACTTGACACTTTATTTCAAACTGCATGTAAAATGCTAGATAGCTATTGCAAAATTCACGGGTCGTTAAAGGTTTTTTAAGTCTTATTTGTCCGACTATTTTAAAAATACACCGCTTACCTACTCTTGATTGAAATTCGGCATGTTCAAAATGCTTATGAAAAATATACTTTTGAAATGTATTCTGTTTTATAACCGTGATTGGAGGTAGAATTTATTTTGTGTGTATAAAAGAGTCTGGCGCAGGTGATTAATGAGAATTAATCTGAGAAATTTTGTGGAAATCTGTAAGAAGAGGTTGTTCTCTAACTGAATCTTGCTTGGGAAAATTGTGTGTTGGCTTTGTTTTAATACAGATTACGATATTGTGTGGAAAATACCCTCAAATTTGTAGGTAAGTTGAATTTCTTACGAAATATTTTGTACCCAAGTAATACTATGACTTTTCCCAATCACGTTTTGGATACACAAGGATACGATGAGTTTATTGATGTAACAAAATGTTAATAATTATTGTGTTAATCAGTTGCGCCGATGCGATTTATATGAAACACTTCAAAAAATTATAAATGACCTTCACGTGATCAACAAAGTCATGTGATATCATAACAAATATGTTAATATATAGCCAAGGAAACCCTCCATATAAATTGGAAGTACTAAAGTTCAATACTTATAAATTAAAATCAAAACATACCTCGCAATGACATATAATGTTTTGAGCGCATTTTAAAGCTTCGGGAAGCCTTAACATAGCTGCGTATTGTACATAAGAACCTCGAGATCATGTATCAGTAATTGGTTTGAGAGAATAAACTGAACTTATGCGAGGGTTGTTTGGAAAGTTCGCGGACTTCTGTCATAACTCTTTTTCTTAAAATCATATTATTTCCAAATTCTGAAGAAACATTTAAACAACAGATTTGAATTATGTGTAATAATTTTTTTTTTTTTTATCTTAATATTTTTCAAACTTATTCAGAATTAAAAACAGCGAAAATCGGATCGCAGAGCAGGTCAAAATTTAGTTATTTACAAACAACATACTAAAATGTCAGTAGTCATATCCTTTGTAAAACAGCACAAAAGAAAAAAAAAGGGAAAAAAAACTTTCAAATTAAAAATTGCTACATCCTTTCATATTTCAAAATATGACTTAATAGTTTATTTCGTTGAAAAGAAATCAATTTCAGAAGAGAGGTAGTCCTCATTAAAAAAAAAAAAAAGACGTTGTATAGAACGTCATGAAGAAGCAATTACATGTAACGATACAACTTTGTGTTGTACTTGGGAAAACTTCAGAATAAACTCTCAAATTGCTGGAAGAGGTACATGTAGGAGGAAATATATCAAAAAGCAAGTCTTGCCTGCAGTGTGTGTTAATGGCACAGGCGGTATTTGAATTGTAGAGACCCTCTATAAGACGTGGATGGTCAGTGAGAAAACGATATCTGTAAAATTTTTATCCAAACAAAAAAAAAAATAAATAAAAAGTAAAGTAAGGAGAGAGATAGTTGCTTCACAGTTGCTGATGTTACCCGGTTAAAGAAATTAAAATATTGTCATACATAATTATGCTACTGGAACAATTGTTAGCGAAATAAATTTTAAGTGACAGAGGAACGTTTTATAATTCATAAGTATTGGGCTATATTGTGTGAAATGTTTTGAGAAACTCATGACGCTATGTCCTTGAGGTAACAATGTTGTGCGCCGTGATTACAAAATAGGCCCTTAGGAAGCAGTTTGTTTGTTTTGTTTTTTTGGGGGGCGGGGGGGGGGGCTGCACAGCCATACATTTTCAGTTTGGGGAAGCACTATCAAGTACCAAACTTTCCTTGGCAAGCAAAAAAAAAAAGGGGGGGGGGTCACCAGACGATTATATTGAGGGTGCACAAGCACAGGTAACTATGTTTTCTATAGTAATCTAAATATCGGAAAAATTATTGGGGGGCACGCCTCCCCCCCCCCCCCCCCGGTTACTACGGCCATGCAAAACATGTTGATTTCAAAATTAAATAACATAATTAATATCAAATCACGTGTAATGAAACTTTACACACTTTTACAAATGATAATGTGTTCATTTTAAATTTCTTGAAAATAGTAAAAGATTGACATGGTTGGCGAACTTTCAGAAAGTGCTCTGTCTTGTCACTGCTACATGTATAAACATGCCTATATATACTCGTCTCGGATAGTGAACGTTCTTTCATTTTGATTTCTGTTAACAATATCTTTGTTATTATTAGATTCTATGACATTGTTTGATAAAATAATGTAAAATTTACCCTCATTCGGTTATCTGTACCGATATGTTTCTCCTCCTGACATTTTGTAGACCTTGAAATTCGTCAATGACGACGAGACGTACAATCATGGCAATGCGATCACATCGACTCCAGATTAAACCACAATTCTTATTCTGGAATCTAAACTGTTTTGTTTCCTTCCTTTTCATTGGGTATCCCTGTTACATATATCATGTATTACTGCATGTGTCTTTTAAAAAAAAAAATTCCCACGTAATCCTTAAAATTCGTCGAGTAGCCCCACAATTATTCCTTGAATATAATGACATGGTTGCTAAATAAGCACTGAATACTGCATCGTACTAGGTACGTTTTGGAATAATGAAGATTTTTTCACAACCATCCTCAAGAGAGCCAGTAGTCAATCGGCGCTTAAGCGTGAAGTAAATAAGTTTGTTTCCTTGATAGTACATGTAATGCGCACGTGCATAATGTTTTTCCTGACTAAAATCGTTCCTCAGCTCTCCAAGGAAGAAATGTTGGCCTTTTTTTAATAATGATGAACAGATGATATACCAAGGGCGCCAAACGTTGTTCTATCCTAAAATGTAAAACCAATATTAGTTTTATATTATAAATAACGATTAACCGTGCAGTCGTCACAAAATCGTATTTTTTCAAACGCTGTCAGAATGAAAATATGTGTGCCTGGTTTACATTGAAACCTGATACTTTCGAGAGATTTACATCTAGATAATGGAAATAAAAATGAGAGAAAATGAAGGTTTTAAATTTTTAAATTTTATCTTTTTTAATTAAAATTTAAATCATTCTTTTTGATTTTACTATATACAGATATTGACAGATATTATTCAAATATCAAACATTTATATGTTTGTGTACATTTTCAATAATATATTATCGTTGAACAATATCTTTATAGTATTTTCAGTGTATACATGACAATATGTATTATAACGAGGTTTGTTTTTGTTTCCTTTTTATAAATTCTCTGACTATAATTAGCAGGACTACATATACATGTAAATTATATATATATTTTTTTTTCTGTGGATGTGAATCTCACAAGTACAAAATGTCTCAAATGAATACCATCATGATAAATTACACATAGCCAAAATATTAATCTGATTCAGCAAAGATGAAAGCACATGCGGACTTTGACCCGTTCCCTGGCACATGCCAGGTATGTTTAAATTCATTAAAACTAACTCTATTCCGAATTCAAAAAAAAAAAACACCAAAGAAAAAAAAATTAAAACAAAACAAAACAAAAAAAAAAAAAAAAAAAAAAAAAAAAACCCTATATTTTAAGTGGAAACATTTGGAAGTCGCTTACCTTAAATATAAACAAGAACAATGTTTATTATCTACGCAATTTTCCTTTCAGTGGTTTATAGATACATGTATGTTTGTCTACTCCAACTGCACTAAAACGCACTTCAATGTGTATATCTTATCAATGAAGGCTAAATCAGGCTGGACAGAAATTATCAAATATTTATGTTATCACAGGTAAGTATTCGCTCAAGTCCCATATTACTTTAAAACCAATGTAAAAGTGCAATGTCATTTGATTCCAAACAAAAAATGTCCTGAAAACATTTAAATTTTGACATGTACGAGGGGTTATCAAAAAGTTCGTGGACTAGCGTCATAAAATTAAAACCGCTTTAGGTACATCAATGAATTTTTACACATTTAGTTAGCATCATCTTTTCTATCTATAGAATAAACCATAAATCATAATTTTTATTTTTTAATAAATTGTTAGTGTTTTTGTAAGCAAAGGTATGTCCAGGCGGCGCAACCTCTAATATGACGTTTATTTCTATCTGAGTGTAACTGAGAAAAACTCTTTAGATATGAGTATTTGTCATCATAAAAATCTCGTTAATTCAGGCATGTGGTACGACACATTTGTTCAGTAAAATTTGCAATTTTTACCCCATTCTGTAATTTCTATAAAATTTTATCGTAAATTTTATATGGAGTGTCCAAACAATTATGGGCTTGAAAATATCGTCAAAAAGGGTGAGGGGTTTCTTTTTCAAACACTCTATAGAGTTTCGCTCCTGGAAAAACTGGTATTGACCTAAGGAATGTTTAAACTGGCTACAGAAAAATAAAATGCATCCAGAGTACTTGTTTTTTAATGCCCAAAAAGATTCAGAGAGATGAAATATGCACAGTTAGTGTCGATTTGTAGTCAGGGTGTCTAAAGTCAGTCACGTCGAAAAGTGACGTTGATCATGTGTGGTAGAAATTGAACTACAACAAGCAAAGTATTCTGGCATAATCAAGTGAGGAACTTTCCCCATATAAAGATCCATTTACAATATTATATGCATTGAAAACAGCTGCTCATGACATTGTAAATTCATATATATAAGACGGGTTTAAGTCCTTACTTAACTCCATGTAATCTCATCAAGATAAGTGTATGAGGTAGAGAGAGCGGACATTAAGAAACAATGACGTTAAGCGGACGTCATGACACTAAACGGCGACAGCGCCGGGTGATCACATAAAGTCTTTTTAATTTTAGAATAATTTGGCAAATTATCAACGTATCAAGCTAAAATTTTCAACATTTCTTAAACTTCTGTTGTTTTATGTTCCGCATAAATTTTGTAAGCAAAGACTACATATTATTAATTTTATCGCGTCAGTCCACGAACTTTTTGATAACCCCTCGTAGTACACACGATAAAATGCACATTAACAACCTGTTGGAATTGGCCTTGCTACTAATTACATGTATGCCCCGTTATTAGCAGAGCTGTTTTTATTTTCTTATGAAGCAGAATTTATTCAAGTAAAACTTCAACATGAAAAGAAGAATTCTCTTGTTGAGACCTCCGATTCAACATTTAGATATATGGACGACGTTTTATCAGTTAAAAATATTCATTTTCGTTTCTATGTTCATTCGAACTTGAAATAAAAAGACACCACAGAGTCGGACACATCCGTTTCAAATTTGGATGTTTTACTAGAAAGAGAGATTGGTGGCAAACTAACAACTCAATATTATGATAAAAGTGATGACTTTGGCATTTCTTCCCTTATATATTTAGCAATATACCATTTTCACCTGCATATGAGATTTATATCTCTAAATTGATTCAATACGCAAGAGCAAGCTAGTTCTACATACGATGAGTTCCAAAAAGAGGCAGGCTATTGACAAATATGTTGATGATACAAGGATATCAGGAATCTCGTTTAAAGTTAACATTTCGCAAATTCTATACAATGACCTTGTTTGCAACTTCAATCTATCGTTAAGTCGAATGTTCACAGACATCTTTCATACGACTTGTTAGGCCATTATTTTTACAGAGTCAACGTTCCGTTCATCCTATCATAACAAAGAGCACACAGCTGGTGTGATCAGTCGATAGAGGATGCTCACTCCTCCATGGCACCTGATCCCACTTCTGTAGTCATGATTACTGTTCGTTATCTTCAAATTTGATCAAATGTTAAGAAAATCAAATCCTAAGGGAAAAAAGGAAAAAATTAAATTATCAGAATATTGAAAAAATCTCATAAATTTCATAAAACAGATGTAATTGATTTAAAATACCGTTATCATAATTACATTTGCTTCCAAAATACTACAATTAAAATAACAAATTAGTCATGTTTCAAAAAATAATTAAATAACACAAAATTATTCATCCTTAATTGAAACATTATAAAGTATCAATGGTGATAACATTCTTATGTGTTAGGTCCAATTACCCGTCTCGCACACTATTTCTTGTTTGTTGCCAACTCTATCATTTACATCTAAATATAAATCGCAATAGATTATTATCGTTACCTTGAATTCCCTCCTTAACTAGGAGTTCGGTATTAAAGCAATTTTAAAATTATTAACTGGTTTTGTCAAGTGCTTAGCGATAAGGTGGGGAAAGACAAAGTTCTAGGATACCGTAAACCAAGCCTATTTGAAGCAAGAGACACGGGAACAAATAATATTTCACTACCATTTGAATAAACAAACATACTTTCCGACCCAAAATATGTAGACTATTCTAAGAGTAGGAAATAACTTAAAGTATGCAGACGGAAGAAAAGATGATGATAATTACAAGGAAATAATTAGTGCAGACGACGACAGTGACTAAATAAGTCTTTTCTAACTCTGAAACAGATAAACCAGATGTGCTCTAGACACCGACATGTAGAAACGAGGTAACCAGGCAATAAGATTAAACATTCTAGGCTATCCATAAATACTCAAAATGAATACAAGTTGAGTCCTGCTTGTTAGTTCTTCCCAATTATAAATATGTAAAAATAGTATAATTAACTGACAATCACATACAATGAAAACTGTCGGAATTGTCAGTGAATATTTCGCAAGTTTTATGGTCGATACAGTGATCTATCTATCATTAGGTCAAATGCTTACTGATGTATTTCATACTAAATGTTAGACCATTATTTACACACTGAAATTTCTACGGATTTTCCCGTTTACCCGATCATAACAAGGAAACCACTGCGGGTGTGGCCGGTCGACAGGTGATGTTTACTCCTCCATGGCTCCTGATCCCGCCTCTGATGCTTTTGGAGGCCCGTGTTTTCTCTGCTCCCGATTTGTATGGTTTAAATGGACAATGAGCTTGAATACTGCTATACTCTCCATATTTCATTTTTTTGGGGGGGGGATCAAAACAAAAATCAAGAAAGACCAAATCTTTCGGAATTAATATTAGTTAAATTTTCTCAGAGTGATTACAGAATAGCATACTGACAAAGATGGAGCTTTCATAAAGTCAAAATGGGTAATACATATAATTATTCATTTCATTTAAGGAATAAGTGCCCGTTGCAAGTATTTTTGTCATTATGTTCTTGCTTTATATTATATATCATAAATTCACATTATTCTTAGTACAATTTTTCATGGAAAAGACATTCACACTCTAAGATGTCGTTGCTGTGTATGGCTAAAAAATAGTCTAAATATTTTTTTTATCTAAGGTACATGGGTCTAGGTTTATAAATATGTATGACTTCTATTTAAAATGTATTAGTTCATAAATTTAATGCTAGAGATACAACAAGTACACTGTATAGATGAAGCACTTACTTTCAGTGCTGAAACCTTGTACAAGTTTACTTTATAAATCATCATTTCACAAGACGGTCCTTCTGATGAAATATATCAATCGAGGTCACATGACGCAATAGATCCTTTAATGCTCAATGCCATTAGTGCCGATTACAGATTAAATTTGTTCCCTTCCACATCCCAACATGAGTGAGAAGATTTTGAAGGGACGTAAAGCAAACATCCAACCATCATTTCATATAATAAATCCTAAAAAAGAAAAGTTATACTAGAATTCACATATATGCGTGCAATGTACCACCATCCTTAAAATTCCAGATTTCAGAGAATTCTTCTACAGTTACATATGTTCAAACGTCTGTCACACTTTGGTACAAGTCTGTATCCTTCTTGTTTGACTCACTGGGAAAAAATTACACTGTTTTCCCAAAAATATAATCCTCTACATTGATAACATCGATAGAATCTTTTAAGCGTTTATTAACTACTGCAATATTGATGAAGGCATATGTCGGTCCATATACCAACTTAACAATCTAGCTATCACTAAGTAACCTAGGACAGCACAAAACTGAAATGATATACAGTACGATATGTATCACATGCTGCTTACTTCTTTGTATAAGTATTTTAATAAGACGTCATTCAAATACCACAACATTTGTCCAAACACTACCAATACATTTCCGAACTGTTAAAAACAAGATAAAATTTCACTAGGAAAAACCTTGATTTTTTTAAGCGGTATTTTTTTTTTTTTTTTTTTTTTTTTTTTTTTTTTTTTTTTTTTTTGAAAACTCAATACAGGCTTCATTAACTTTCATTAAATTTTACAAAATATATTTCAATATGGCTTTACGATTCAAAGAACTTTTTTGTGCTTAAAAAACAATTATTCAAAGGCATATAAAAAAATCAATATTAGCCAATCAATTTTGTATTTGCATTTACGTGATGCCAACTTTATCACTGACTCATCGTTGAATGATACCTTAATAATGTAACGTACATTTTTAAGTTATTTTCAATGAATTTTAATGAGAATTAAGATATTAAGCGTAGCGATTTAACATGTTAAGGTAGTAGCCAATAAAATTTCAATTCACGTGCATATTTTCAAATTATATTTTCTTGGATGAAATGATTAGTATATGGATACATAACAACTACATGTAGTACATGTTTATAACGATATTTATTTTTAATCTTGCATGCATGCTCGTGTTTCATGTTTATTCAACGTGTTGACGCTTCGTATTTGAATATATAAAATGTTATGGATTTGAAAATTTAGAACATTTCATTTATTGTATGCATGCAAGCGCAGGAAAAATTCACATTTCTTGCGAACATTTTCACAGCATGCCCCTATACTTTGAAGATTTTAATTAATTCTGAGTCGTTTCTGATGACACCCACTGACATAATATAACTTCCCAATCTACATCAGACACCGTCTCATCCATATTGAATGAGAAACATGTATAACTTATACTAGTACGTTTAAAGGCAGTTACGTGTAGATAACATAACTAGCATAGATCCTACAAGCTTATCTTTTAAAAAAGATTGGTGAGCTAGCGCTGTAGCTATCATAAACCACAGAATTAGATATCTGAATTATTGGATTAATTTGCTGAATCGATTAAGGGGACGACCATTTGATTCTGAGGACGGGGGTCGGGTGGGGGGTCTGGCAAAAATTTTCGAGTCACATTATTAATTTTCATGCCAGTCAATGACAGATTATTTATTTTCTTCTTCACTGAAAAAAGTTTGACAAAAAAAAGTTCAAACGGGGACGGAAGGGGGGGGGGTAGTAATAGTCAAGAACAGATTATTTATTTCCTTGCCGGTCGTGGAAAGACAATTATTTATTTTCAACTTTTTTGAGCACAGATTATATATTTCCAAAATCTGCCAGCCCCCCCCCCCCCCTTCAGAATCAAATGGTCGTCCCTAATTATTAATAGGAAGACACAGTGGTACACTGGAGGTGGTGTTGGGGGATGTGTCTTAATTCAGAATGGTGAATCTAGAGAGAGTTTTCACATTGACAATGGCATGCATCATTAACTGTGCTTTAAGCATTCTGTAGTTTACTGTTATTTCAATTTTGAAGTGAAAAATAAGAGATAAGTAGAACCAATGAACACCTAGTTTAAAAATATTCCAGTGTGGTACTGTTTTTACTGTTTTGTAGCAATCAAATCCTTTCGGACCTTTCCGGCAAGCTCAGAAAACATATCCGAGGTTGTTTTTCCGAGCTTGCCGGAAAGATCCAGGAAGATAGTTAAAAATAACTAGTTTTTTAATTATAATTTTAGAAATTATAACAGATCTGTACAGTTTTGGCATTTACTGTTACCTTTTGTACATTTATTTAAGATTAGACAACAAAACACGAAACTTTAGATCATAAGTATTTTCAGATTAAAAAACGAAATTGACATTGTACAGTTTATCTACAGCAGTATTCCCAGCCCTACCGTGAAGTCAAGCATACGTATTCCAGTAAAAAAGACTAACGTAATCGGATCACAAGCTTATCTTTTAAAAAGATTGGTGAGCTAGCGCTGTAGCATAATAAAATACAGAAGAAGATATCTGAACCATTTGTTAAATTTGCTGAATCGATTAATTATTAATAGGAAGGCAGATTGATGCACTGGGGGTTGAGTTGGGGGGGGGGGGGTTGTCACAATTCAGGATGGTGAATCTAAGAGTAAGAGTGTGCTTCAGGTCGGCAATGGCATAACTCCTAACTGTGCTTTAAGCATTCTGTATTTTACTGTAATTTCAATTTCGAGGTGAAAAATAAAAGGTCAGTAGAAGCAATGAGCACCTTCGGGCCTTTCCGGCAAGCTCGGAAAACATATCCGAGGTTGCCGCGGTTTTCCGAGCTTGCCGGAAAGATCCATGAAGGTAGATTAGAAAAGCTATGTATTCATTACAACTTTAGAAATAACAGTCTTGGTTTTATAAGACCCGAGTTACTGTTTTTGTTCATTTACGTGCAGGTTAGACAACAAAACACGAAACTTCAGATCATATGTATTTTCAGATGATAAACACTAAATTGACATGTCTTTCCGACATACTCTGAAAAAGATTTTTGTTGTTGTTGTTGTTGTTTTTTCCGAGCTTGTCGGAATTATCCACTACGGTGGTAAAACTGTAAGGGAAGCTAGATGTCGAGAATCTTGGCATTATATATATGGCCAAATTTTTTCTTGTACTTTTATGTGTAGGTTAGACAATAAATTAAAAAAAAAAAAATCAGAATCCGGATCTAGACTGGTATTGACTGTCTCTAACCTACGAAATGTATATCGCGCATATCAGACAGGAAAGGCCAGTGTAAATTCGGATCATTTCTATTTTTGTATGACAAAAACGAAATTGTTATCGTACAGTCTATGTACAGTAGTTTTCCCAGAATCCCCGACCGTGAAGTCGAGCATGCGTATTTCAGAAATATAGACTAACGTAGTTGCTAGCGCTCGAGAGCGCTAGCAATTACCTGGGCTTTTCCGTCAAAAAAGGAAAAATGAAAAATGAAAGAATTATAATTATATCAGTGCTACTGCATTGTATCAATCGCTTCTCGTGTCTTTCCGACATACTCTGAAAGATTTCCTTGGTTTGTTTCTGAGCTTGCCGAAATTATCTAGGAATTAAGGTAGTATACATGGTTAGCTGTATGGAAAGCTAGGTTTTACCAGTTGATCTCTACAATCTTGGCATTATATGACCCAAATTTTTCTTGTACTTTTAATCGTAGGTTAGACAATTAAGAAATTCAGAATTCGGATCATATCTATTTTTTATGATAAAACGAAATTATCATCGTACAGTCTATCTTAAGTAGTTTTCCCAGAATGCCCGACCGTGAAGTCGAGCATGCGTATTCCAGAAATATAGACTAACGTAGTTGCTAGCGCTCGAGAGCGCTAGCAATAAACTGATGTTCCGTGTTGTAGTAGGTGCACGAAAAAGATCCCTCATTGCTCAATGGCCCTAAGTGACGAATATAGGTCAAAATTTGCAGCTCTCCACCGGCAAGTGTTGGCGTCTCCATATGAGTGAAAAATTATCGAGGGGGGGGGGGGGGTTAAGCAACAAACAAACAAACATAACTAGCATAAGGTATGTAAACAATGAATCTGTATGGAAATGTAAAATACAGGACCCCAATCACAGTAACACCTGCCAGACAAAACATTAACACTCGGAATCGAAGTTTAGGTGTTCATTAAAAGTTTTTGATTTTTTTTTTTTTTTTTTTTTTTTTTTTTTTTGATTTACAGAAAGTATGATACATTCATATCTATGATAAAATATGTGGTTTTTTGGAGGGTTTATACGTACAGTCCCTGAAACGTTCTACTTTCCCACTTGAACGCTGAACGAACGCAGAGCGAACGGTGAGTGAACGATGTGTGAACGCTGAACGCAACTTGGTGAACGATGTGTGAACGGTGAGCGAACGCAGAACGCGAACGGAGCGCAAACGCGAACGCAAAGTGAACGGTGAACGAACGGTGAACGCAAGATTAACGATATATTCGGAATGCCTCTGATCTTTTCCTTGCATTGAAACTATTTTATTGTTTTATAATGTCAGGTGCCAAAAAAAAAAAAAAAAAAAAATATCAATAATAAAGAAGTAAACCAATAAATGAATGAATAAATAAGTCAATAAAATAAATTCTCCAAAATAGTCCTGAGAAAGACGATGCATGCACATTAAGTTTTTAATCACACGATTTTTATCGCATTTAAACATTGCAATTGTTGCCGAACGCTGAAGTATAAGAGATATTTTTTTTTTAGTTGGAAAATAAAAATGTTTATTCTTATTTGATAACAAAGCAGAGAAAACTTCTGACTTATAGAATGAATTAAAGTGGTTGTAACATCCATTCATATATCTCCGTGTTAAGGCGATTTCGTGTAGAGTAATGAAAAAAAAATAATTACAAAGGTCAGTGGACGTTTTGCATTTATACGCTTGTATTTTAAATTTTTAATGCAATAATATATTATGTGTCATTTCTATTTTACATGATGATTTATCAGGCCCGTAGGAAGCAAATTCGGTTGGGGGGGGGGGGGGCACAGCCATACATTTTCAGTTGATAGTTGAGGGGGCACTACCAAAAGTTTCCTGACAAAAAAAAAAAAAAAAAAAAAAAAAAAAAGAAAAGGTCATCAGACTTTTTATTGCGGGGGCACAAG